GCTGGGTGGCTGAGTTCCAGCTGTTACCTTCCCAAGCTACCTACTGCCTTCACATCTCAACTGAGCTCCTCTGAGCAGCTGCTGCCATTTGGGCCCATGCTGACAGACACCTTAGTGTGACACATATGGTCCATGGCAAAGTCCCACTGCCTCTACAGCAACAAACAGAAGCAAGGCTTTCAGCAACCAGCAAGATGGCGAGTGGTGCTGCTGAGCAGATCAGGGCTATCCACTCCAGTTGCTGCTGTGACAAATACTTGAGAGCAGATCCAGACCCTCATTCTCTGGTCTAATAAGGACTGTCAGCATCAGAGCACCAAGCTCCCCCAGGAGAAGAATCAAGTTTCTTGACCCTTTGGTTGGTTCCAGTGGGGGGAAAGTGTTTCAGAATCCCAATGTTGACCTCTTTGTCCCACACTCCAGGCAATAAGAAACGTCTAAGTTAACAAAAGTGAGCAGTGAGATGGGTTTCTCATCCAACAACTGTCGAAACTATTGCATGTAAAAAAGAATAGCACCCCAGATTAGACTGAAAAATCAGAAGTAGTAGCCTTCAAAGTGTTGCTACATCAGATTGGATCAGCCACGTTATTTTTAAGCTGCTGAAATGTTTCCCTTCACTTTTTAAAAAAGAGTTTCTTTCCTTTTAAAAAGAAAAAGAAAAATTCTAAAAAAGTAAAGACAGGCACCACTGGTTCGTCTTTTACTGATAAGAAGTGTGTGTTTTGCTCAAAGAAACAGCCTAACTCTGGGCTCAAACACTGCTGTCGTTTTGGATCAGGTGTTCTTCTCGGGAGTTTCTGACAGAGATCCATCTCACATCTGACTGCACCCGATTGCTTCAGGCTGTCAGAGAAGTGCATCCCTACTGCTCAACGACTGTAACGCCCACATCCTGCCTGATGAGCAATTGCCACTTATTAATTTTTTTTTTTTTTCTCCCTTCAGAGCACAGCAGTGATAAGAACTGCTTCCAGGTCTGGGTGGACACAAACCTGAGCGGAGCCTGAAGGCGTTAAAGCCAAGCTGACCAACAAAACTTTTAAAATATGACTACAGTGAGGATTTTAGCTCCACGATGCTGCCATGCCGGGATGTGACAGGCTTCCTACCCAGGTCCGGAAGGTAGGAATCTGCTTGCATGTATGAAATAGCGTTGTTTCCCTTCCCTTTGCACATACGTTACTTTGGAAAAGGAGCAGAGGATTTTTTTGTGTTTTGAAATGCATTCTATGCATTGAGATGAGTGGAAACAGAATTAACCAGCATAGGAACTGGTTTAGACAAGCTCCCTGTAATCCATGTGCATTATGACTTTGTTTTTAAAGTGACAGCGCCAACATTTGCAGCTCTGGGGGAAAGGAAACATCTTTCACAGCACTGTGCCTAGATAAGAATGAAGGTGAAATTCAGCCACCCTGCTCAGCACAAGCGTTGCAGAGCACTCATAATAGAGGATGCCAACCCATCTCTGTCTGCTGGTGTATACAAAGTCATAGAAAAATGAATATGTGTGGCAGTCCAGGAAAAGAGCACTGGGAAACAAGAGAGCTGAGAACAAAGGCTGAGGGTGAATTCTCCTTGAGGGACATGAGTTCTCCATCCCTGCCACACTGCCCACAGACCACACGGGAATGATTTCTGATGGCAAGAACAGTCAGACAAGAAGCAGACAATTCCATGGCCACCGCCAAGAGTTTACCTGGGATGTTATTAAACACCTGGGATTTACAGAAGAGCAGGCACTCATAAGGCTGCTAAGCTGCCTAATAAATTGGAACCAGGAAATGCTCTCATTCATTTGATGGCTTAAAAAAAACCTAAAAACTGAATGGTTTTCAACAAATCCAAAGAAATTTAAAAGGTACTATTCTACAGCTGCATGCTCACAGCCCACAGAAAGTCATTTCCCAAAGTTCAGCTATTCAGAGAAAACCTGATCAGTCAAGCATGAATGTTTATAATCATTTCTGCTCAACTTTTTGTTTTCTCCCCACGCATACACCATCAGAATCATCAAGGAAATGAAAACTGAGGCAGGGGGCTGGGAAATAAGCAGAATAAGTTTTCTATATATTAGAGGGATGGAAGAGCACAGGAGTACCAGCAGACAGGCCCAGCCCCAAGAAATATGCTTTCCATTACTTAGTGCAGAATAACTGTCACATGGCAGGAACCTTATGTTTATGGGGAGAACAGAAGGAAGGGAGACACGTGATTGGTCTAACGTCAAGAACACAGTAATCTGGAAAAAAAGATCCTTCTGTCCCATGGAACATCTTGACTGCTTTGCAAAACATATCAATTTAAATCTGAAAAAAAATACATTAGATTCAAGCTGTCACCATAATACGCTGTGAACTGTATATGTGAACTGTAGCTCAAATGCCATATGCTTTCACTCTGATCTCTAGGTGAATCTTACTGCCCAGAGTATCCTTTTCACAAAATCACAGAATGACCTGGGTTGGAAGGGACCTCAAAGATCACCCAGTTCCAACCCCCTCCATGGGCTGGAAGTTCCCATCAGCTCAAGCTGCCCAGCACCCATCCAACCTGGCCTTGAGCACCTCCAGGGATGGCGCACCCACAAAATGCTCTTTCCTTTTTGATAGGGGTAAGACACTGCTCCAGTGTTTCACAGGGAACATCACCCAGCTTCAGTTCCATAGGTAATGAGATTCTGTGATGGAATTTGAAAAGAGATACTCGAGAGGTTTGATTTTCTGATGACATCTCAGAACACTTACTGAGTAAATTATTAACATTTTAAGAGGCGGCATATTTAATTGGAAATACAGATTTTCAAAGGTCAATCCTGATGGAAACTTCCTGGTAGTTCTGTTATTCATAGGGGTTAACTTAGTGTGAAATAATAGCACAGCCAGGAAGTCAGGAGGGAGAAATCAAATCCATCCCTACCTTGATAGGAGTACTGATAAGGACGAGGCTACATCAGTAGTTTTGACAACAGCTTTTTTGTTCCACTCCACAAAAGCACCCACACTTAGTACTCAGCCTTGCTGACAAAGTCTTGACTCCTGCTCAACAAATTAAATTATAATGTAAGATCTCTTGGCTAGCAAAATAGGTATACAAGCTTCTACAAAACTGTTATTTCAGCATTAAATCCACAGTACTATTTTCTCAGCACGAGGGACTCTGCAGGGAACTATGAAGCCTCCTAACCAGACAGGGATCAAAATCCCCCCCATACTCCCAAATTAAAAGCTGCCAAAATTTCATTCCAAACTGAATTCACCCTTCCTCATAGCCCCACATCACACTGTGGGATAACAAGCAAAGTAAATAGGTGCTCACTTCTGCCATAGATCTCAGCTCAAGCCAAATAGGGTGGCAGGGACTTCTGGAGCAGCGGCACAATCTTCTCCAGGGTAGCACAAGTAATTAGCACAAGTAACGGTGTATTCTGAGGACTAAAAACCTCTGGTCAGGTCAGATGAGCACCACAAACCTACCCCACTCCTCAGCGATCATCTTGCTGGCCCATATTTGCTCTTCTCTCCTAAGGATGGTAAACACATACAGTGGCTGCCTGGTTTCATTCAGTTCGTCTTCTCTTCCAACTCCCTGCTGCAGGAATGGCTGTTGCCGTATTTTCTAAGCTTTCTGAAAATAAAAACCAGCCATTCTTGTGCTTAAAATAGACTGGAGAGCCCAGCTGATTTATCCTTGCCCTGTAGGATCTAGGAGGTGGTAAGATTGGAAAACTTGAAAGGGAATAAATTATGAAAGTAGGTACAGTGATTTGTTTTAAATAAGGGTCCCCAGTTCACCCTGGGAAGAATTCTCGGGGCAGATGGGCTCAGTGCTGGGGTCCTCACAAGGTGCTGCAAGGACACAGTGCTCCAGCCAGATGTGAACTGCTGCTGAAAGAGCCCTGCCAGCAGCAGCAGCTCCCTGCACGTGGAACTAGGCAAAGCTGGCTGGGATCTCCTTCCTGCACTGATGCAGTTATAGAGAGCAGCTGCACCATTTGATACCCAAATTTCACTGTTGTTTAACATCTTCTCTTTGTCTTCTCTACTCCCAATGAAACATGGCTGGTTATCGTCTTTCGTGTGAAAGACATTTGCTTGTTTTAAGGAGGCATTCAACATTATTACTCTTTCATAGAAGAAACCCTCAATTCTTACATCTCCCACTTTGACCATGTCAAGAAACTTCCCTCACTCACTCTGTCAGCCAGGTCAGCTCCTCTCCTTAAGCACTGCCACACCAAAGCCAGCAGCCAATGAAGAATCCAGCAGCATACCTGTGTAAGGAGTCAATCTCTGCTGAAGTAATTTTGCTTAAGGATTCAGATAAGGTCAGAAGAGACCTTCAGCAGTGCAGACATCTGCATTAAGTAAAATAATTCATGTAGGAATCACGTAATCACCCATACCTTTCTGGGTGATAAAACACCTACTTAAAGAACATTGCTTCTGAAAATCATCTCTTGCCTACAGAACCTATGAGTAGTAGAGATTAAATGTTATGGAAAATGAGTATGCATAATTTTCACTTTGCTTTGTGCCAGTAAGAGACAGGAAGTGTTTGGACAGAGAAGAAAATTGGGATAGAAACAGTCTGCTCTGCCATTTGTCTGGTCTTTCACACTAACAGAGGAGTGGAAATATATTTATGATTGGGGAATACTGATACAAGATCAGTGTCTGGATTTCTTAAAAGATGATATTCCAAATAGAGGAGTGCACAAGCACCATCCTTCTCTTTTGTTAACGTTTGTTTCCATTGTCTAACATTTTAGCAAGAAACACAGATGAATGAAGAAAGAATGTCAAGGTTCTCCAGCTCATAGCCCCCTATTACTCAAGCTATGAGGTTTCCAGCAGGTTGATTTCCCTCTGAGAACACATCATATATTTTCTGTTCCCACTTGCACTGAGTTTCCCCATTGTCTGACATTGTTTGTTTTGCAGGTGCTCAATGATGTTAGCAGCAAACATAAACCCCGATGAGGAGCAGCATGAGCCATGGAGGGACCCACCCCAGAGCCCGCATATGTTGATGTGGACAAGGGACTGACACTAGCATGTTTTGTCTTCCTCTGCCTTTTCTTGATTGTGATGATAATTCGCTGTGCAAAAGTCATCATGGACCCTTACAGTGCTATCCCCACATCCACATGGGAGGAGCAGCACCTGGATGACTGAAGGGGCTTGGCTACACAGAGCCATAAGATGCTGCAATCTAGGAGGACTCTTCCTATCAGGAAAGCAAGCAGGAACAGCCATTTTCAGATATGCAGGATGATGGCAATATATTTAAGAGCCAATAGCTCATATGATTACTGCTCAATACACCAGGACATCAGCAAGCCATTCTGGAAGCACAATAATACTATGCAGCAACCCTCATCTTAATGAAGATGGTCATCACATAACTCAGTAGCACAACATCCTCTAGACTTTTCCTACAGCTATAGCACAGTTTGCCCTCTCAACGTCTCCCACAAATTCAGGGCTTTAGTCAGAAATTGCAATTTGATAAAGCAATAAGAATGTCTTCCCTGAATACAAGATTGCTTCAAATACCTTTCCGAGTCATTATATTTGTGCTCAGGAGAAAGGCAAAGTTTTGCAGTTGTGTCTTCCCAGGTAATGTTAGGTAGAATCATAAAATCATCAGGGCAGGAAAGACCAACAAGTCCAGTTGTCAGCCCAGGAGAAGGAACACTAAAGCACCATGGCTATCAGCAAATTTATTCTCAATGAATTAAGTAGTGTCCATATGCTTCCCCACCACAGTGCTGTCATATTTTTAGTGATCAATATACAGAAGCACTCAAACTGCAGTTTCCAAGGGGGCTGTGGGCTACTGTTGACTCTGCAGCACAGCCTTTCTCTATCCTACTCATGGATAACTAGATATATTGACATCTGCCATAGGTCCATCAATCAGCCAGATCTCTTGCAATGAGCTTGGTAGCCACAGTTCACAGATCAGAGCTTGGACACCACTGGCTTCAACTACAAAGAACTTGCAACATTTATCAAAGGCTGACTCCACACAAAACTTCATTAATCTCTTCTTTCAGAGACAGTTCAGTGGGATCGCACATAGATGTTAAAGACAATAAGCAAAGACACTCCTAGCTTTGTCAGTCGAATTTGTTAGCCCAAGTTACAGTAGCAAGAACATGCATTCTACCTCGAGCAAAGTACCTTTAAAAAAAAACTTTTCCTCCATGTTTTTGTTGATTATCCATGTATTTCCTTTTCTCAATGCATTAAGAATGCCATTACGAAAGAAGCGAAAAAGGGAACTCTGGAATTATATTATTTACATTTTGAAGAGTGGTAATCAAAGGTTTCCCACATCCTCCATTTCTTAAGTTCTAAGGTTTGCCCGCAGCTGCCTTGAGTGACTACACATATGGCTTAAGGGATTGTAAAGAGCTGCTGAAGCAATCAGGAGTAGGTACTGCAACCACTAGTGTCATGAATAGACGAGACCTAAGAGCACAGATCTGCAAAAAGGATACTTCATTTTCTCCTTTTCCTCGCCATCTTGTTTTCTACATTCTTGCCATAGGACAACATAGAGTGGATAAAAAAAGGTGGAAAAAGAGGCTGGAGCAAGGAACCAGGGCATAATTGTGTAGGCTGGATATAGACTCTGTAGATTGGTATTCTGCACTCTGACAGATTTGTTTGACTATTACACTAGTTCCCTCTTTCTGTCGCAGTCTTCAAACATGTAAAATTGGTACAATACAATTAACTTGTCCTGCCCTGTTTCAGCTCTATCACATCACTACACAAGCTCTTGAAGAGCCTTAGATAAAGACATGGAAGTAAGATACTGATTTACAACTTCTTTACGTAAAACTACACAGGAAGGTCTGAATCTCAGTGTGCAGCAAGGGAAAAAGGAAGGGAAAATCTCCACGATAGAGAGCTTGTTCAGAACTCTACGTACTTTTATTGAGATCAGAACATCCTGAATCATTCTGATGGCACCTGATTTTATTGCCCATTCCATGGAGTTCCAAGGAGTACTGACTACAGAAGAGCAGGCTATGAGGTATATGGAAACTTCGCATGCACCTTTTGCCCTAGGCTCAACTGCACAATTTCAGCTAATCTCTGTTGTAGGAGAGCCCAGTCAGAAGGGAGATTTGAGGATCAGCTTTAATCCTGCTCTTCTTTACCAAGAGATCTCCACTGCTTCAATTATCCACTGCAGATTGCTCACCAGCCTGCTGTTCAGCTTCAGGTTCTGTTACCTAATTAACCACTAGTAACGGAAGTTTTGTAAGTGTGAATGTTAAAGTCCAACACTCTTTGAGCAAATATGTTGGTCTCATCCATGTGCGTGCCTATCTATAACATAGGAACCAATACCCCAGCTCAAAGGGCATTGCTTCCATTCCACTGACATTTAGAGCCTGGTTTTTTTAGTCATTAAGTTCCATATCCCATTTTGATACCAGTGGGGCTACAGAATATACAAAGCAAGAAGTAGTAAAATAACTATTTCCAGCCTACAGAGACTTCTGTATTTCTGACTATATTCAGAACTGACACAGCAAGAAAAGTGCTCGTCACTACTCCTGGTGCCAATAGTCCTCTCAAGGAGAATATGTATGCTTTGGCTTTGCTGCACACCACCAGTAAGCTCCTGTTCAGCTAAGGATTTATGCATATTCTGAAGTTTAAGACCTGAACTCCCAGGGAGCAGGGTCAGCACTGTGCTGTGCCTTTGGCTGGGCATGGACAGCAGCACACAGCCCTCAGGGGAAGGAAGCGCATATGAGAGCAAAGGGTTATGAATGCTGGGGAAGCAAATAGGTTCACCTAACAAGAATATTTGTAGTTATCTTCCCCCACTCTCCCCTTTCATCTATACAAAGCATTTTAAGATTTTATTTTACTTTCTGTTTGCAAAAAGCCTCCCCTACATCAAACCTTTTCCTATGACTACCTAAACACTGGTGGGGTTGTTTTTCGTACTTCTAATGTATATATGTATATTCTAATTTCTGCCTTCCACCAACCGTTACCAACGCAGCCTCACCACTTTAACTAAAAGCAATACCAAACACCATGCTGAAAGCAGAAGCTTCACCTTGCTTGCATTCTGGGTTGACCTGGCCACCCAGGACATGTTTGTTACTCCATCTCCTGGGAGTCTGGTTGGCAGAGCCACGTTCCTGGGCAGTGGAAGTTTGGTAGGGGCTGCATCGCTCAGCACTAATTACAGCTGCATGCAACAAGTGCCTCTGCCAGTTCTGTTGTTTTTAATCATTATGCCATACTACCGGCACTCGCACTCAGAGGAAATAATGCAAACGTACTGCAGATGTATTTACTTAATGCAATAAACAGCTTCAACATGGAAAGAAATTGTGTGTGTTGCAGTTCACTGCTCACTAGGATCCAATGCAGGCACAGACTGCAACAAGCCACTCCCTACACCAGAAGCAGCAGCTGGAGTTACCATGCTGCTCTCAGAGCAGCTCCTGAATGGATAAAAGCTCCATGCATAGGCATAAATCCAAGCCCTGGCCACCCTTTCCTCCTGACCCCACTAGCCCAGCCTTGCCGGCCATTACACCAATCTCTATAGCTGCCCTCTGGTTCTGCACAGCCCAGATGAACTGATCTAAATAGAGGATACCGAATCCCCAATTTTAACCATGCCTTAGCATGGCCATGGGAATACCTTATTGCTATCTGTATTATTCTGCACGTTCACTTTTCCTTCTTAAACTCCTTTCATTAAAAGCAGTCGATACCCTCTGGCCACTGCTCCTTTTTGTAACCCAGGAGGAAACCACTGATCACAGATGTGTTTTTAAGGCCACGCACAGTTTAAGACTTCTAGTTGCATTTACTCTCAGGGTTCATGTCAGTGCATAACAGCATTATGAAGCGTTGAGTGATGTGCTTAATTACAAAGCTCCCTGTTTTGTACTGCAACTTGTCCAGGGAGAAATCAAAAATCAAACAAAAAGTATTAAAATTGCATTAAGTGTGCTGAATCCATAAGGAAAAGGAAGGCTGGTAAAACAAGTTTAAAACCCAAATGAGCTTTTCAAGCAGCAGCCATCTGCAGACCAACCCCAGCACAGGGCTGTACCTTCAGCATGTCCCTCACGTACAGCCAAACACATCCAGAGCTTTCAATCAACTTTAGAGCCCAGAAATTATCTCTCTTTCTCACACAGCAGTGACAGTGTGGGCACCTTGAGCGAAGGCGGCAATCCTAAGCCTGAGAAATGGCCTCTCAGAAAGAAAGTGGATGCAAATATCACCTACTAACAGCATCCCTTCTAACAAAGTCACTGCCTTAACCCCAAACAGCTTCTGAAAGAGCATTTCCCCCACCCAGGGAAGGAGCCTATCATCACACCACATGGCCCCAAACCCCTCTGGGGTGGGTTTACCTTTCCTCCAGGCCTCTGAAAATCCACAGGGGAATTTTTTCTTCTCCACTTGAGTGACAATCTCAGCGCTGTGATGAAGTAGAGGAGCTCTGGTTTTAAAGTTTTACTTCATTCATTGTTGTTGGAAACTGCTATACAATAAACTTAACAAAAGCAGACTTGAATTAAAAGCAATAAAATCCAGAAGCAAAGAGCTCCACCTTCAAATCCAATGGCAATAGAAGCTTCCATACTTGAAGAGGAAGTTTTTGTAGGGAGGGTCAAACCACTTTAAATGGCCCTTTAGAAACAAACTCCTCCCAGCACCAGGTGCAAGTATTGATCCAAGATGTAAGCATTGTAAGCACAAAACCAAGGGCCCCAGGTTGAAGCACCCTCCTGCTCCACCCACCCGTTTCCCCCTTGTGGGTGCCCTCCCTCAAAGGCGAGATGCCTCCAACACCGTGAGCCCATGTCTTTATCCTGTAGGTGAAAAAAAATTCACCTTGGCCATAAAAATCATTTCTTTCCTTTTTTAGCATCTGCTGGACTTTTGGCCTCTGGCCATGCAGCAGGCGGTCCATGTCTCTGAGCTCTGTCCTGAGCAAAGCTTTGGACTTCCTCCAGCCCACATCCAAAATCTGCTCAGAGAGCTGTGTGAGTTCTGGGAAGGAAAACATCAATTTCTGGAAGCCTGCGATTTCTCAGATTTAATCAAGTTAAGGAAGCACCTGGGGGCTATGGGAGCACCCTGTCACCTCCTGCCTGTCCCCACCATTCCGCAGAGGTTTT